AATGCTAATCCTCACCTTAAAACACTAGACGAATCAAATGCTGTAATGATTGCTAGTTATTATGGTAACTATGAGGTTGTTGAGCTATTGATTAGTAAAGGAGTTGATTACAAATATCAAAGAAAAGATGGAATGAATGCTTTTATGTTTGCTTGTCAAAATGGTCACACTCGAATAATCGAACTGTTGATGAAGAAACAAGTTGATCCTAATGTTCAAGACAAAGATGGTTGGAATGCTTTTATGTTGGCTTGTCAAAATGGTCTCACTCAAGTAGTTGAACTGTTGCTGAAGGAACAAGTTGATCCTAATGTTCAAAGGAAAAATGGTTGGAATGCTTTGATGTCTGCTTGTAAAAATGGTCACACTCAAATAGTTGAACTATTGCTTAAGGAACAAGTTGATCCTAATGTTCAAAATATTGATGAAGTGAATGCTTTTATGTTGGCTTGTGAAAATGGTCACACTCAAATAGTTGAACTATTGCTAAAGGAACAAGTTGATCCTAATATTCAAAAGAAAAATGGTTGGAATGCTTTGATGTTGGCTTGTAAAAATGGTCATACTCAAATAGTCAAACTTTTGCTGAAGGAACAAGTTGATCCTAATGTTCAACAAAACAGTGGGGGAAATGCTATTATGATGGCTTGTCAAAATGGTCACACTCAAATAGTGGAACTGTTGCTGAAAGAACAAGTTGATCCTAATGTTCAATCCAAAAATGGTGTTACTGCTTTAATGAAAGCCAGTTCTAAAGGACATTATAAAGTAGTTAAGTTATTATTAGAATGGGAAGCTGATCCAACTATTAAATCTAATAAAGGCAACACTGCATTAAAGTTTGCAAAAACGATTGAAATATCAATATTACTAAATAGTTATATAAGAGAACACAATAGAGAGCAACAAGATGATACTTCTAGTGAATACTCACATACCACTGGATATAATACAGCTCCATCAGATACTTGTAGTGTTAGAAGTGTTCCTTCTTCCTTAAGTTTAGATTCATTCAGTGATATTAGTAGTGATGAGTGTGATGTTTAATCTAATTAATTGTTTTAGCTACTATTAATTTTTATCATAGTCTTTTTTGCTGATTTTTTTATTAATTTGTAGTGACAAGGTTAATGGATAATCCTGCATAGCAGCACATGCGCTGAAAGGAGGTAGAGATTATAGTGTACAAATACAAAAAAAAAGATAGCAAGTTAATGAAGCAAAACAATGACTCAAAACAACATTATGCATTATAAAGGAATTATGATGCATGTAGGTCAAATTATTGATTTCTTAATTGTGATTGTTTAATGATCAAAAGTGGCAGGTTCTGGCTAAGTTTCTTGTGAAGAATAATAGAAAGTTTAAATTTTGATGTGATGGCACAATTGGAAGTGAATACCTGGTTAAAATTAAAGGGTCAAGTGCTGAGGTAATGAATATACTGGAGTGAATGAATTGTTTCTCTAATGCTGTTATTGTAGAAAGTTTATGTATATACAGTGTATAGTATGCCATTTTTTGAAAAGTTTCCTGTACTTTAATAGCCCATGATTTCTTCTGAAAACTGACTACCAAAATTACCACAAATTTTACTTTTGAAACACATAATGTACTTATGCTATGTAGCAAGTTTGAACTGATTCCGGCAAATAATTTTTGAGCTTTGAGCATTTTTAAAAACTAGAATTTTTGAAAAAAAACCAAGACCGTAGATTTATGTAGCCCATGGTTTTTTCAAAAAATGGCTCCAGAATTACCATTGATACACAATGTACATTTATGTCCTCATGCTAATTTGTGTTTTCTAAAGTACATGTACATGTACTGAGTGTTTGTTATTGACTGTCCCTTCCAGAGATTCTCAACCCGATGGATCAAGACATTGACTTTACCTGAGAATCAAATGGTGATCAAGGCTCTCATTGGCTCAAGTTCTTCATGAAAGCCAGCATCGTTCAAAAGTTCTCCTTCCTCGTTGACCTGACATTAATTTAGCTGATACAGATCCATCATCTCTACCCACTTCTGCTACTTCTTCTAATGCTTTCTATCTTTCTTCTTATACTATTGTGGAGCGGCTGCCTCTAAACTACACTTTGCAGCTTGTGTTGGTATAGACATGAGTCCACTTGAATAAGTGTGATAAAAATTTGTGAGTACATGTACAATGAATTAATAATAAAAAATGTTAAGTTGAAAGGCATGAGCCATGGTATTAATATGAATTAGTTAATGAAGAAGTAATCATGAGTTCATGATAATGAAGGAAATAATGAATCGATAATGAAAATAATAAGGATAATGAAGAAAGTAATGAAAGTTCATGATAATGAAGAAAAAAGTTCGTGAGCTATATGGCTCATGTGAGCCATGGCTTAGTCTGTGATGTAGCTTTTACACTGACTCTGAAGTACAAACTATCATCTTTAAGATACTGGCAATTATTAACTGGATTATACTCCAATTCTTCATGTGATATATAATGCATTGAGCCCCATCCATATAAACTACAACCTTCCCTCACTCTTTCCATGCCATCATCAGCATTCAATAGTATGGTCAATTTGCTGTGATTCTTATCCTCCAGTTGATTCAGTAATTTTATCGTAACTTTTCCTTGAAAGTGCCACTCTAATGTATCATCATACTCTCCTTCCATGGGATAAATGTGGCAAGAGACATGTGTCCCTAGAGCAATATATTGCATCCGTTGCAGTCCACATTCAACCTCATCTTGTATCCCCCAGGAGAGGTGTAGAATCCTTGACTAAACCATGTTGAGTTTTGGGATTTTAATTGAGTAAACGGAATTTTCCAAACTCTTTCATTTTGAGATCTATCTATCAATGAAAGTTTTTGCATTGCCATATCTAAGTGTTCTTTTAATGAACGGGCATTATGACTTTCATGCTCTTCCTTCATGATAAAAGCTTTACAGCATACAGTTTTGTATTTACAAAATACAAACCGTTTAGGGCAGGACTTCCAGTGTGATGCTATTGTGTGTCGTGGTATCTTCTCATGATATCCAGTGATACCGCATTTGATAGGGAGGTTATGACACTCACTTAGATGGCTACTCCCTGTTATCAGTCCACGTGTGCCTCCTTGACCACAATACTGACAGTTGACGATTTGTTTAGGACAGTTGTCTGTCAGATGTGTCTCCAGTCCACTCCTTTGCACATTCTTTCCACATCCATTACTGCAAAGTATCATTCCATACGAACAAGTAAGAAGATGAACATCGATATCATTAATTACTCCCGTCCATTGGCACCCATAATCAGTGTTAGTACAATAAACTGCGAGAGACTGTATTCTTCATTCTGCTCTTCCATCTTTAAAGTACTTTCCTTAAACCAACTGTTGAGCTACCAGTTCCTACTTCACCTCAATCTGAGTCTTCAGTTGTTTCCGTTAAGAAGAAATCAATTGAATATTCACCAAATAGATCTAACCTGACACGAATGATTGGAGACCTAAAAGAAGTTTACCTTGATAATATGTATCATACAGAGAAGTCCTTTCATTCTATTGACATCTCAGAAGTTATCGATTCTGTTCAACATTGCATTGCACTTTTGCTCACTCCACGTTTTCAAAAATACGAAGTGATTGAGCCAATGAAAAAACAGTTTGACCCCATTAAAACGATGAAGCAGCTGTTTAGAGTACTTGAGAAATATGTTTCGTGGTTTAATTTTGAACTTGTCATCAAGTTAGTCAATACTTTCATTACTGATGAGAGAGATTTACCGAGAACGTGGTCTACATATCGTGAGAAATTAGAAGATCATTTTTAAATAATAATACTCAAGCAGTTCAAATTGCAGACTCAATTGAGTTTGGTCTTTCTGATGTTCCAGGCACTAAAGTAATGATTGCTAAGGTTGCCAGAGATGACTACACATTAAATGATTTATATTTCTTTCACAAGCTAATTGCTGAAGCACTTGAAGTTC